GAGGTATCTTTAGTGGAGGAGACATGCCCCAACAGTTAAACAAAACACTCATTGTGTTAATTCCCAAAGTCGATTGCCCTAACACCTTGAAAGAATTCTGCCCGATAAGTTTGTTGAACGTGGTATATAAGCTAACTACAAAAGTTCTCGCCACCAAGATGAAGGGGTTAATGCCACACTTAATCGGGCCTCCCCAAGTCAATTTCATTCCCGGTCGCCACATCACCGACAACATCGTCATTGCCCAGGAACTAGTTCACTCTATGAGAGCTTTGATGGGGAAAAGGGGCTATATGGTGATAAAAGTGGATCTCAAAAAGGCTTACGATTATTTGAGGTGGGACTTTCTAGAAGAAACACTTTTGCTAGCCGACTTTCCGAGAACCTTTGTGAAAAGTATAATGACATGTGTATCCTCTGCCACCATGCAATTATCATGGAATGGGATCCCTAGTGAGGAATTCACCCCTTCTCGAGGAGTTCGCCAGGGCGACCCGATCTCTCCTTACCTATTTGTTCTTTGCATGGAACGCCTGGCTTTGATGATTAGTCGTTGTGTCAACGAAGGAAGAATGGAAACCGATATCCTTGGGTCGAGGTAGAGTCAAGATCCCATACTTACTCTTTGTAGACGATCTACTCTTATTCACTGAGGCAACACCGGATCAAGTGGCATGCGTGACCGAAGTATTGAGAGTATTTTGTCATGTGTCAGGCTTAAAAATTAGTGCATCCAAAACTAAAGTTTTCTTCTCTAAGAATATCCCCACAATTGAGGCTCAAGCCATGGCGTCTTCAATGAACTTTGAGCGGGTTGATAGCTTAGGAAAGTACTTGGGGATGCCCATTATTCATGGGAAAGTAACGCATGAGACATACTCGAATGTATTGCATAAAGCGGAAACAAGGTTGGCCGGATGGAAGAGCTCTTCTTTGTCATTTGCAGGGAGAACCACCTCGATTCAATCGGTGGTGGGCACTTTGCCATACTACGCGATGCAAACCGTGTGGTTGCCGGCATCGGTCTGTACCGGCATAGACAGAAGATGTCGTCGATTTCTTTGGGGTAGTTCTGAAACTCATAAGAAAATCCATTTGGTCCGATGGGATGAATTATGTCGGCCCAAGTGTGCTGGCGGTCTTGGATTTAAAGATCAGCGAAAAATGAATATGGCCCTCTTGATGAAATTGT